GAGGAAGATCAGCCCTGAGCTAACATCCGTGCTAATCCTCCTCTTTTTGCTGAGGAAGACCGGCTCTGAGCTAACATCTATTGCCAATCCTCCTTTTTTTCCCCAAAGCCCCAGGAGATAGTTGTGCGTCCTTCTAGTTGCTGTATGTGGGACGCGGCCTCAGCATGGCTGGAGAAGCGGTGCGTCGGTGGGTGCCCGGGATCCGAACCTGGGCCACCAGTAGGGGAGCGTGCACACTTAACTGCTAAGCCACGGGGCCCGCCCCTCTAAACACTATTTAGGGGAGAGTGCACTATGGCCAAGGACTTGATTTTGAGGCCTAGTAGGAAATAAAACTCTATTGTGACAGTTTGTTTCTGGATATTTTATCATGATGCCTGAGAACCTTCAAATTGCATAATTAGCTTTCCTTGTTCTAATTCTGTCCACATTCCCAATCTACTTTCTCTTATAATTTGATGTTCTATGTTACCTACTTGTAAAGAAGACACTGTCCAGAGGACTCATGTGTTCACACCCCTTCATGGTATTCTAATTTTCAACGTCATTCCAAATGAGCTTCTAGCCTGAGAGACAGGTTCATTCTAAGAGTTTTCACAAATCCGATCTCTTAGCTTGTGAGACAAAGGGCAGACCCTGCACCGTTCACCCAGTTAGTACTACCCCATGAGGCCTCTCGTTAGACAGTCAGACCACCTCTCTTGGCAACAATTTGAACTTCTTTTTGATTCAGGTTACTTAACATCTAATATGGGGCTTTTTTTTGCTAGGAATTTTATTTAAGGATTTTTCCTTCCCTTTATTTTAAAAATTTAAGGGAAAGAGGGTCTTAGAGAAAGATGTGATCAGTAAAGTTAAAAGGTCAGGGAGAAATACCCTCTTCCAAACTTGCCTTACTGCGCGTAGACTGTTTCTAGAGCTCAGTGAAACCACCACCTTACAAATAAGTCTCCCACAGTTTTGGACCTTCCTTCCAGTCTTTCTTCATGCTGCCTTTTTATTCCTTCCAATATTCTACATGTTTCTTCTTCCTCTTTATTCCAGGGTTCATCACTTTTTTCTCTTTCCACTCAAGCTTGCCTGTGTGTCACTCGCAGGGTCAGTTTCTTTTTCTTTTCAAAGTCTTAGATTTTATGAAAAGGAAGAGCTTTCTTAATCAGCACCTGCCTTTTCCTGTAAGCATTTGAATGTAACTCCCTGGAAATAACTTTTGTAGAAGTAATTTCTCTTCCTTTATTTTCTATTCCAGGATGACCCTAAAGATGGGAATTTCAGGTCATGCATGAGGTTGACACCATGCTAACTTGTATTATCAGCTTTATTTTTATTCTTTCTTTGTAAGAAACTTTCACTGTAATGAGACTGAGCTGTTAAATATTCCTTAATTTATCTTTCGATTGCCCACCTTTGGTTACCATTTAACTGCTATTAAAACGGAACACAAATCTGATATCACTTCAATTACATGTCCCACATCCCCTTTGTTTTCCTGTGGACACACATGTGCAAATTCCCCACTGTTATCATTTCCATGAATGTAAGATGGGCAAGGTCATTTGTTGCTTTATTTTACTGAGTTTTTATATTTGCTGAACCATCCATCTGATCAAAGTATTTAGAAAATAAATATTATAATTAGAAAATTGACCAAGCATATTATCTTTTAGTTTAAATGCAGTTCATTCACTCATCCAGTAAGCCATTTTTAAGGACCACTATGTGCAACACATGACTGGATAGGTATTAACAATTTAAACTGCTGTAAATATTACTCAGTTTTTGCATGTCATAAGAGCTTTACATTTCTCAATCAGATATCGCTCTAATAAGCTTTTCTGTTTTGTTTTTAAGTGTTCTTCACAAAAGGATTATGTGATTCTTGCCACTAGAACGCCACCCAAAGAGGAACAAAATGAGAACCTCAAACATCCCAAAGCTAAGTTGGATAACTTGGATGAAGAATGGACCACAGAACATGCCAACCAGGTCATCATATTTGTCTCTACATAGTTAAGTTTGTGTTTATTGACTAACAAAATGAAAGCACTTTATTTATTGAGTAGACTAGGATTTCAGGGTACTCATTCTTAAGTGTTCACAACTTGCATAGTAGATAAAAAATAGAAGTATTTCCTGCTGTGTTTCATCCATGATTATATTTTTTATTTGTTGATTACTTGTGTCTAATTTTTAAAAAGCATTTTCTTATTTGAAGTTAAGTAAACCACCCAAGATTATATAATAAGTGATGAAACTTGGATGGCAGTCTGACTTGAAAGCTTTTAATCTTATATGCTATACTTTTACATTGTATTTTTTAAGCTATCTCCTGTTATTGGTCATTTAACTTACTTCCAGTTTTTCTTTACTTTAAAATAGTATTAGTTATTGATAATATAGTTGCTGGTCAGATTGTTAAAAACTTAATCTAGGTACTGAGGGAATAAAATGAGGGTTAAATTTTTTTTAAATGTCCTGAGAATTTATATGTTAACCACCGTGAAAGACATTACTACGAAAACCAATTATAAGAGAAATGAGATAAAAGTAGAAAAGTGCTATAGGAATGTAGAGTGGGGAATGATTAAATATCTGCCAATGGCTGGATTCAAACAGCTTCACAGAAGGCTCTGAACTTGAAAGATGAATAAGATTTTGCCAGTAGAAGTCAGGGGACTCACTGAATGCCCAAAGGACAGTAGGGATAAATGATCCAAAGGCATGAAAGTTAAAGGTATGTTAGGAGACTAGCAAGCAATTGGGTGTAATTGAAACACAGGTTTTGTAAAAGAATGTATTTAGACAGAAGACTGTAGGGGGGCCAGTTTATGAATGGTTTTGGAGTGCCATCCTAAGAAGTAGGGAATTTGTTTGGTAGACAGTAACTCAATGGTAGACTTTCAGAGCTCCCTATTTTGAGAAGGAGTTAGTATGATTGACCTGCCAATAATTTAGAAAATAATTTCAATGCCTTGGTACAGTGTAAATGGAGAGCAGAGAGACTGGAGACAGAGCAGAACACATACAGTTACAGTGATAGTTCAAAAAAAGGTGATGTGAGTCTAAACTAGACTAAGTTTCGTGAGGACAGGGGTCACGTCTGTTTTGTTTATGGCTATATCTTCAGTGCCAAGCATAGTATTTCCATGGTTTGTAAGGAGAATTCCAAAATATTGGAAAAACGGATGCATGAATAAACAAACTAATGCAGTGGGCTAAAACTTCATTGCCAAAACATTTCAGAGAAAGAGCTAGTATCTAGATGATTTAGTGACCAGGTAGATTGGGAGTGAAGAGGTATTAGGGAGAGTAGCTAAAGATTACTGAGACTTTTAGCCTGGGTATCTAGGAAGATGATGTTGCTATTACATGAGGAGAAAACAGATTTGGGGGTGGGTGAGGGAGTGATGAGTGAATTCACTTAAAAGTAGTTATTGAATGGGTTATATCATCTAATAAAGAATGTTAGAGTAAGGTAAAAGTAGAATTATTTTAGTCTCCAATCAACTTTAAATCTTTTAAATATACAAACATGTTTTTCTGTGTCTGTGTGTATGTGTTCATGATGAGAGTTGGTATGTAGTTTACAAAAAAATCCAAGAAATATTTAATACCATCTTCTAATGACAATTTTAAATATTTTAAACTTAAATTACCAATGGTTTATAAGTAACTTTCTACTCTAATTTTGCTTTTGGTCTCTTATAAATTATATACAGTCATGCATCACTTAATGACGGGGATATGTTCTGAGAAAGGCATCATTAGGCTATTTCGTCATTGTGGGAGCATCATGGAGTCTACTTACACAAACCTACATAGTGTAGTCTACTACACTACACACCTAGGCTGTATGGTACTAATCTTACATGACCATTGTCATATATGCGATCTGTAATTGACCAAAACATCATGTGGCGCATAACTGTATATCTATACATATACATATATATAGAGAGAGATGTGTATTTTCTATATATGTATATACACACACACAAAATTTATATAGCAAAATGAATTGACCATTTTGCTTCTAGAAAGAAATGGTTAATTTTGTGTATTGGTGATTTTGAAAAGATATGCAGGCTTCCCATGCTAAATATGAAAACTTTATTCTTTATTTATATGTCAAGCTTGTGTTACTACAGTGAGTAGAATTTATGAAATCAGTGGGAACCATCAGCAGACACAATGCAAATACATTAGGGATTAGACTATGGTGTCTAATTTTCTGAAGACTTAGCTTTGTGATCAGTTTGCTTATACATTAAGTACACAAAAGATAACCAAAGCACTCTGACCTCTGAGTATAGATGGCAGAAAGAAATCCTTGTGGCATTAAGAACTAGCCACAATCATGTGAAGGGAAATAATAGATATTGTGGAGGATAAACTGGTAGTGTGTATCAAAAACCTTAAAAATATGCATAACTGCTTTTTTTTTTGGTGAGGAAGATTGGCCCTGAGCTAACATCCATTGCCAGTCTTCCTCTTTTTGCTTGAGGAAGATTGTCCCTGAGCTAACACCTGTGCCAATCTTCCTCTATTTTGTATGTGGGACACTGCCACAGCATGGGTTGATGAGCAGTGTGTAGGTCCACACCCAGGATCTGAACCCGCAAACCCTAGGCCCCTGAAGTAGCACATGAACTTAACCGCTACACCCCTGGGCTGACCCTATGCATGACTCCTTAACCTGGTAATCCACCTCAAGAGATTTATCCTAAGCAAATAATCTTGTGAACACAGAAGGACTTGCTAGGATTTTTAACCAGTATTATTTTAGAGTAAAGAAAAATTGGAAATAACATAAATGCCCAATATCAATAAATAGGTTTAAAAAATTGAGGTAAACCTAAACAATAGGAAACAATGGATTCTCAGGTTGCACTCCCTCTGTTCAAATCCCAGGCTCTAGTATTCTGTTGAATGTTATAGGGATACAAAGGTAGTTAAGAATCACTTCTTCCTTCTTCCCTTAAGGATCTCCCAGACCAGCTAGTAAGGTATACTGATAACTATAATGCAGGCTCATGTGATAAGCTCCTGGGAAAACTGCATCAAAGTCCTGTGGGAGTTCGGAGATCAAAAGGTCAGGGAAGACAGCTTCCTTAAGCCAAGTTTGAAGTATCCAATAGATTTCAGACATGTCGAAGTGTAAGAGAAAGTCAGTTCCGGCCGAGGGAGCAGGTTTAGTAAAGATATCGAGTTAGAAAGCCTAGGTATATGTATGGAGAACAGTGAGAAGTTTTTGACTGATACTTGAATGTTTCAGGGAAAGAAGTGTCAAATAAGGCTCTGAATATCAGATTAGCCAGATTTTAGAGTCTGAAATACCAGTCTAAGATAAAATTTGTGTTTTATTTAGCTGATAGTGGAAGCCATTGAAAAATGTTAGAAGATATTTCAGTCTTTGATCTCATGCGAAACAGGTTTGTTTATTGATGTAGCCAAAGGATGTCATTATGAAATGGTTTTATTTATAAAGTGGTTTTAAGGTAAAAAGTTAAGGACACTCTAGGAATATTGTGTACATAATGACACCCCATTCCTCTTGGCTGTCATCCATTTCTCAATGTTTTAACCAGTTTTTCAAAACCCGTACCTCAATGCTCTGCATATGGTTGGTACTCAGTAGGTATTTGCTGATTTACTATTTAGCCTCTCAGACACAAAGGATTGCATGTAATACCAATGCTTATGTTAGCTAATACTGTATTTCTATTTTTAGGTATCCAGAATGCTGCCAGGGGGACTTTTAGTCCTTGGAGTATTTATAATTACAACTTTAGAAATGGGAAATGATTTTCAAAATGCCCTGCGGAGAGTAAGTCTGAGATATCAAAAATTCTTAATATGTTCAAAGTTGCATCTTATTTTAATTGATTATACTTGTATACAATGATTGATCCTAGGCATATTTAGATTAATGTTTGTAATTCTTTATGCTGGGATTATGTCGAGACAGCTTTTTCTACCCAATTGCTTGGTATTTTAAGTGTAATAAATGTCAATATTTATATTTTCATTCAAAGCTACATATTTTAAAAGTCTTTTTTATTTTAAAGATAATTTTTTACTATTATGAAACAAGTTATAATGATTTAACAATTTTTGTTGTACAATAGCAGTATTCTGCTAGACCTTCCATTCAGTGCCAAGTGATTGGTGTAATGTGAAATGAATAGGTTTTACGATTCTTCACCTGTTCAGTTCTCTCAAGATCTTGAGAATAAAACATAAAGCAATAACAATCAGATACTTATTCTTTATTCCTGGGCAGAGTAGCTATCATGAAGCTCTTGCTTTTTGTTTTATTCCTACATCAGGGAATTGGGTAACATAGTCTAGAAGTAAATATGAAGGTCCACAAGCTGTTTCCCCTTAAGCCAAACCTAAAGCCAACTCTGTGCAGCCAGCTTTCATCTCTCTTAGTACTCAAGATCCAAATGAGCCTTCAGAAAGTTATTTCCACCCCGAGAGAGGGGGACCCCACAATCTTGAAAAGTGCAAAACCCCACAGAATCCCAAAAGAACTTTGTGGTAAAAAAGTGTGCAGAGAAGAATCCCAGATGCTACAGACTGGTCCAGTTTTGTAACCTTCTTTCCTTTTTTTCTTTTCTTTTTTTCAAAAGCTTACTTTATTTTTTTATTTTTATTTTTTGTGAGGAAGACCAGCCCTGAGCTAACATGCAATGCCAGTCCTCCTCTTTTTTTTTTTTTTTTTTTTTTTTGCTGAGGAAGACTGGCCTTGGGCTAACATCTGTGCCCATCTTCCTCTACTTTATATGGGACGCCACCACAGCATGGCTTAACAAGTGGTGCGTCGGTGCGTGCCTGGGATCCGAACCTGCAAACCCCGGGCCACTGCAGCAGAGTGTGTGCACTTAACCGCTTGCACCACTGGGCCGGCCCCTGTAACCTTCTTGCCTATGAATGTCCCACCCTCAAACCTTTGATATTTGTACCTAAGAGAATAAGGAAAGAAAATGGAGATGTTCCTCTCCCTGGCAAGTTATTCAACCTTCTGCCATTTTTTTTTTTTTTTTTTTTTAATAAATGTACCTTTTACAGTTGTTCATCCTCTTTGGCATGTTGAAATCTGATCTAAATCTGTGTGTATGTAATAACATTGGTTGTGCATCCTTTTGTGGTTGGTGCTGGATTGAATGAGGTGCATGTGGGCTCAGTGCTAGACACAGTCAGGTCCTCCTTTCTTTTACTTTTCTATCTCTTTTGTTCCTAAGAAACATATAAGATTTCAGAAATGCTGTATTTCAGAAATCGAGTTTCAGTTACCTAACTTTGTTTCCATTGGCCTGCATTGAGGGACACTATAAGAAATAACCTTATAGGGCTGGCCCCGTGGCTTAGCGGTTAAGTGCACTTGCTCTGCTACTGGCAGCCTGGGATTGGATCCCGGGTGCGCACTGATGCACCGCTTGTCCGGCCATGCTGAGGCCACGTTCCACATACAGCAACTAGAAGGATGTGCAACTGTGGCATACAACTATCTACTGGGGCTTTGGGGAGAAAAAGGAGGAGGATTGGCAATAGATGTTAGCTCAGAGCTGGTCTTCCTCAACAAAAAGAGGAGGATTGGCATGGATGTTAGCTCAGGGCTGATCTTCCTCCCCCCCAAAAAAAAAAGAAGGAAATAACCCTATAAAACTTGTCAGTGTCTCCTGTAAGGTCGTGGTTAAGAACTTTGTTCATTATGTTACGTGATATCATCTTTGAAGAAATTTCTTTTGATATCATTATCAAGAAAGTTGTGCATCTTCTGATCAATTGTTTGTTTTCAGCTTATGGACCATGTGAATTAGGTAACGAATTAGGTTTCCCTGTGCACATTATTGTTAGAAAGCTTAGAGCTACATTTATGACCCCTCTCCCCATATCAGATATGCATTTTTATAATTCTTAATTCTGGCATAAAATTATGTCACTATTTCTGATTTTTTTCACTTTTAATTTATGTTATTACTATATTTTATGTGTCCTTATATATTGCCTTACATCTTTTGTGACATTTAAATAAGAAATGCCAAATGGGTGACATGCTCTGTTTTTGTAGGTTAAAAATCACTTGTCATTTCTGATTCTAATTAAAATAAAATCTTTATTCTATACTTCACTTAAATGTTAGTTGCTCAGAATTAGTTTTTCATGTTCAATTGGCCGTTAATGACAGTGAATTATATTTTTCCATTTAAAACCCAATTTTTGTATATCTCTAAAAAGGAAATCCAAGTAGTTAATAATCACTTTCACTCCTTTTTTAAAGAAAAGAAAATTTAATGATAGAACCATGGAATTTTAAAGCTGGATAGGAGCTTAGGGACCTTATAATTGTCTTTTTCTGCACTCACTTTCCTTCTTTCATTTTACATTCAATTGATGTGTGTTTTTTATCTCTTTCAGCTAGTATTTGCTATGGAAAAATCTATGAATAAAAAGAGACTGTGGAATTTCACAGAGGAAGAGGTCTCAGAACGAGTGACACTTCACATTTGCTCTTCTACAAAAAAGTATCTTTTATTGAGGTGTTTATGTTTTAAAGTGTACAATAGCAAAATAATGTTCCTGCAAGTTTTTCCCCCAAACATTTATTTAAATCATCATTTAAAAAATAGGCATAGTTTGTAAGTTTTTCTGTAAATAACACATAATTAGGACTGCCAATAATAATAATGGTTGTTAATCATGTTTCAGTGTTGTAAAGAGTTTGAGAGAGATGGCAAGAACGGGGATTCTGAACTCTTTACCAGTGATCTACTGTCCATGGAAGCATAATAGGTCCCCTACGGAGAGTTAGATGACAGCTTAGGCAAGTAATGTTTTTATTATATGTTAAATTTTCACCTCCAATTCCCGTAGATAAAATGTTCAATTCAAAGCACAGATGCACTGAGCTGGACAGTGTAGGACATCCAAAAAATTTTTGCTTTTGGCCAAGATCAAGTGACGCTAAAAGCCAGTTATAGGGCCTCCGTAGCTTCTTTCCTCTACATCTTGCCAGGGCACGGTACCTCCCAATTAGGAGGCAGGTCGTTAAGGGAGTGAAGCAATGGAAGGGGCCAGTACATTAGGACTTGCAAAAGATAAAATTCAAAAAGTGATCATTCCTGCAGGAGCTGGGCTTTTAACTCTTTTGATATTTGACTAGAAAGTTTCATGTACACGCCTTTTGATCCAATAAACAGTCTCAGGCTTGGCTCCATTCAAAACGGCATTCCTGTTTGTTATAGAGGGTGTATATTTGAGGAAAATTTTGCAAGTGCTTCCATTCTATTCATTTTGATTAGCAGGATTTATAAGCAGTAGGAAATAGTTGAAAGTACCACTAGTACTATAGGCAGAACAGTTATATATATATATTTGTACAAATACATACATGCATACACATTTATGTATGTATATATCTTTATGTGTATAAAGTGGTATGATTTTATAAAATCTCTTGGATGCATGGACTTTATTTTTATTTTTTAATGGTTTGTTTTCTTTTGATTATCAAGAATTGTTTGTTTTTTTAGTCGTTTCTATCCTTAATTAGTAAAGAATATTTTGTCGAACTTATGATATCCATGATCCAAAGGTAAGAAAAATTACTCTTTGAAGATTTTTCTGTGTTGCAAACTGTTTTTAAAATAAAGTTCAATTGTTTTAATAATTTTCAGTGCTATCACTTCCTATTGTTGTCCACAACTGTTTGTAATATTTTTTTTTAAATATGATTAATTCATTACAAGCAAGGAAAATTTATGTTTTTTTATTGTTCAACTCCCCCTACCTTGTTTATGAGTTGAGTGTTATATTTGAAAGGCTGGTAGTAAAAGTGTCTGAGCTTTTGGTAGCTACAATGCCTAGTAAGCAAGCTACCTATAGCAGAATCTAGACTAACATTTTGCTAAGGTGTTTAAAAGCAACATGAATAAGTAAATTTGCAGTATTCTGCTAGCAAAGATGGGACAGAAAGGAAAATGTCTGGTACCTAGTAGTCGCTCAGTGATTATTTGCTCCACATCAGAAGCTTCAGAATTAATATGTTGAAGCTACAGATGGAAACTAGAGGACCAGAGGACTTGTCAGAATTCTAAACAGGGAACTATCTGATCCTTTTTTAAGCCTGCCACTGGGGAAGGGAGTTGCAAGGTTGCCTGGGATGTACTGAAGAATACTGAACTTAATGCATGCTTTACTTTTATTTAGTTCTAACCTCTTGCCCTTTGATGAAAGAATTTGCCCAGATATGTTGCATATCAGCTTGTATGAGTTATTAGGTTGTACATTTTATGATGTTTTTATTGATATGTGTATTTACCTAAATCACATATTTTATGTTTCCCCCCTTCCCCACTGCTAAAGAGTTCAGCAAAACCAGCAGATTGGAAGTATCAAAATGGGCTATCAGCTTCATGGCTTTCTTTAGAGTGTACAGTTCATATTAATATTCACATCCCGCTGTCTGCTACTTCTGTCAGCTATACTCTGGAGAAAAATACAAAGGTATCAGGGTAAAATGAATTTTCTTTAGTGATTAGTGAATAGATAATCTGCTTTTATTCTGGTTATCTGTGCCATTCATTTTTTAATCCTTAAAAATTGCATTCTAATTATAGTGATATTGTTATGGGTGACTAATTTATTACCTCAGCCAGATTAGAAATATAGAGGTGACACAATGTTATAATTCTAGTGTATTTAGCATAATAAATGTTCCCTAAATATTTTTTAATTAACATGTAGTTCTATACATTATAAAATATAGCTATGTAAAATATAATTATGTAAGAAGATATACTGTTTGCTCTTTTTACTTTCTCTTGGTCTTTAGTTTTGTTTTCCCTTTTTCAGTCTTTTTTTTTGTATTTCTATACCATTCTATTATTCATATCTCATTTCTTTTTTCCTATTGAAGGAGGCAAATGGAGCTTGCTTATTTTTTCCTCTTTAATACTGCTGTATATATTTATTTGAGGCTCTTTCTCTTTTCTGACTTTTTTTAAGATAATGGAAATTATTCAATTTAATTTGACTGTGGTCATGTAGTTATAAAGCCTCCTAAGTCTGTGATATGAATGTTAGTTTAGGATAAGGATTAGAAAAACTATTATTACATGTGGATAAGGTGCCAAAAATTGGACATATACTTTTTTTGTTGTTTATGAGACTGAATTAAATACCACATTACAGATACTTAGGGATTTTTAATATTTCAGTGTATTAGATGGGAAAAAATAGACTCTAGAGAGTTTAATTGAGATGGCATTATTTCTAAAAGATATCCATGTTGTGTTTCTTTTAAGAATGGACTTGCACGCTGGGCCAAGCAAATAGAAAATGGTGTTTATTTGATTAATGGACAAGTTAAAGATGAAGATTGTGACCTATTAGAAGGACAGGTGAATTAAGACAAAATCATCTTACTAAAGAAGTTATTTGTGTTTAAGGAAAAATAAGATATGACTTATCTTTAGTTCTTCAGTCCTTGCCTTTGTGAAAACAGTTTTCATCTACTTGTTATTTCTAAGATCTTTTAAAGTAAAAAGCAAATGTTTTTCTCAGAAAACGATGGGAGATTATTTCTGAAGTAATTGGAATCTGGAAGCCTGAAGAAGAGAGTGTCATCTAAATTCTGTCTGATTTCCAAATGGTAAACTACTTAAAACTGTTAGGCCCATGTTCTGACCTGGTAGCTGTTTAAAGACTAAGTTTGGCCTTTTCATAGGAAGCATCTATATGGGCTTCTAAAATAGCTTTGATCTGAAGAGAGTCTTTAGTGATCTCTCTCTTTAGAGCAAAGGTCAGTGAACTTTATAGAAAGAACCAAATAGTAAATATTTTAGACTTTGCGGGCCTTTAGTCTCTGTTGCAGCTGTTCAGCTCTGCTGTTGTAGCATGAAAGAAGCCACAGATGATAGGTAAATGAATGCTCTTGGTTGTGTTCCAGTAAAACTTTATTTACAAGACTGATGTACTCTGGATTTGACCCATAGGCCATAGTTTGACAAACCTTGCTTTAGAGGAATAAAAGTAGGGAATTAATGGTTTTTAAGAGTACCCATTGATTGATATAGAATACATGAAGTAACATATCTATAGAAAAAGATAAAATAAAACAAATAATAAGACTTTTTTTCCTCTAAGTTACTTGATGTATGTAGGATAGTTCCTAAATTGTCTTTTATGTTCCACTCCAATCTCAACAATTTAGTTTTTTAACTTTTGTGTTTTTTCAGAAAAAATCTTCTAGAGGAAATGCTCAAGCGACTAATCATTCCTTTGATGTCAAAGTGCTAACACAGTTGGTAAATATTTTAAAATACTGCTTAGCTAAATACATTATTTCTTAGAATAACCGTAATGAAATTGTTTTTGTCTTTATGTTTATAATTAGAGAATCAAAGAATTTTAGAGATATAAGAGACTGTAAAAAACATCCAGTTCTAGGAGAGTTGTTCCCAAGAAACATTATTTTAATGAAACTTATTTGGGTCTTTTGCATCAAGGCTATTAAAATTTTAACATCAAGTAGATAGCAATTTAAAAATATATGTGTGCTTATACATACGTACTACGCGTGTATGCATATTTATGTGTAATATTTTGGGTTGTAAGTTTTATAAGCAAAGTTATAATTCTTAACAACTTAAAAGTAAAAGGTGTGTACACACATGTGGCAAGAGTTGTCATATACTTAATTTGAAGTAGGTTTATACCTCTTCTGATTTGGCAATCACAAAGTATTAGCAAGTTTCATATTTTTAGATGGTGGTTTTAAATTATACATCTCTTCAGAAATTGAAATTTGGATATCTTGAAGAATAAAAAGTTAAAGCCACTAATTATTCCTAAAAGTGTGCATGCCTTTAATTTTAATCCTGCTTGAAATTATCATAGAGAACAGACAGGGTATAAAATTCATCCATGTTTGTAGAAAACTTTTCATTTCAGTATTATACTGGAAATGTTGGAACAGGGAAATACTACCAGGACTTGTGTATTTTTTTAACTGAATAAAATAGATTTTGGCATATGAGGATGTTTTAATTTCTTCTCTTCTTTCTCTGTGTTTAGCAATAGTTGATTAATAAATTGTTATTGGACTTAATGTCACTCAACATGTGCTCTCAATTTCTTTCTCAATACCTTAAAAGTATTTTTAGTCTTTTGTTTTCCTCCTTCCTTTTGGTTTTAGTAGTGTCCTTTGTTTTAAGGCTATTCCTCTATCTGTATGCTTTTTAGTAGTTATGTGACCTCTTGGTTTATTAAACAATTCAGTTAAAATTCTTTTAGTAATAAAATTGTAGTTAGGAGATGTATAGAGTGTGGGAACATAGAAGAGTGGAGGATAATATCATAAGACATCATTTATTGTTATAATATTTAATGTTATGTAGTGTAATATATTTTTGTCAATCATTCCACTGGTCAGCCAGCTGGAAACTTTAAAATGACCAATATATAATAAGTAGTCAACAAGTACTTGATGTCACTTTCCTCCCACTCAACCACCATCAAGTCTTGTTTCTTTCTTTGCAGTGTTAAGCTCATCTTTTATTTTCCATCTAGTACCGCTGCCATTAGCCTTACAATGTTATTATTTTAAATGATAAGTTTAAAGAGATCTGTGAAACATCTCAAAACCAAGTATGAAGTAATACTCCTTAGAGTAAAGAAAGAGACTGAGATGAAAATGATTGCTTACAACCACTAATATCATTTTCTGGTGACAGGCATAGTTGACTTGCTTTTTTCCTGCTGTAGAGCATATAGCAATACTTTTAGTCGATGATAGTTACGAGTTGAAAGTGTTTAAGTGAGTGTCTATACGTTGCTTGTAATTTTACCATATTTATCACATCCTGCATTGTATTCCAGTTATTTTTGTGCAAATCTTATATTGTATACCTTATATCTTCCACTAGATCATGTCTTCTTTATGTATCTTTTCATCTTAATGGTACTTATCTGAGTAATCTGCAAATGATATATTTTTAGTGAATATATTGGTGAGCGAATATTTTAGTGAATGAATATTGGTACTTTAAATGGTTACGTTAGTAAGAAAAAATTGAGATGTAATTGTGTTTAATTTCAGAGTACATTCAAAATACTCAGAAAATAATATATAACTTACAAGGAGAAATATGAAGGCCTTTTAAAAATTTATGGAGAATATATTCAAGCACTTGGTTCTGTTAAAAATTTCTTCTTGCTTCGTAAAATGGCTTATATAATGTTGAAATGTTTCGTATAGTTAATAGTTCTTGACTATTAGAACTTACACAGATTTTGTCTTTCAGCTTCTGAATTCAGACCACAGATCCACAGCCACAGTCCAGATCTGCAGCGGCTCTGTAAACCTAAAGGGTGCTGTGAAATGCAGAGCTTATGTTCATAGCAATAAACCCAAGGTTAAAGATGCTGTGCAGGTACAAAAAGAATAACTGATATATGAAAAACAGAAACATGTTAACATAATGATTCAAAAATCTTAAAATTTTATCTTTTTTCAATCTCACATTTCATAATTATTAATTTGATTTTAACTGATAAAGGCCCAATCTGTTGGACAGTCCAGATATATCTAATTGGTCCCCAGATTTTCATATGTAGAATATCTATTTTATGTCTTTTTTAAAGTGATGATTATACAAGTTTATTAAGTGTTCCACAGCTGTGAAATATTAGTACATTTGATACATGTCTTCTGAGGGAAATTGAAATTTTTAAATAACAGGAAAAGTATTCCTAGGAAGAATTATTAGGTAGTGTTCTATAATCTATATAATTCAGAAATTTAAAAAATGATGACTGACACTTTTGTCATAGTTACACATTTCCTAATTTGGCACACTAGCATAATTTGTTTAGATGAAAAATTTTATTCATTTATTTGGTTTTAATTTGCTATTTAGATGAAGTCTAGGCACATTTGCTGTTAAACTATTAATGTATTAATAAGCATGTTAAATAAATGGACATTAAAATGGAATGATGTACCAGTTATTTTAGTGGACATGATTATACAGGGAAGCCAATTATGTCGGTTTTTTTGGTCAATAAAATAATGCAAATCTAAAGTAATGGATTATATTTCTTACTGTGATTTGTTTTGTTTTTCCATAGGCAGTGAAGAGAGATATATTGAATACCATTGCTGACCGTTGTGAAATACTATTTGAGGATCTGCTTATGAATGAAATTCCAGAAAAAAAAGTTATGAGTATAAAATTAAGTACTTTTTTTTGCATGTTCAATTAATATAATAATAGGATGTCAAGATATAATGCATATCTCGTCATCTTTTATAACTACCTATATCCATCTTTTATAACAGTATGTCACCTTTACTTTTATTATTGAATGAAAATTTTTCAGTTGCCACCCAAAAGAAAGTTTTTGAATACCTTATACAGTCATGCATCACCTAAGGACCAGGATATGTTCTGAGAAATAGATCATTAGGTGATTTTGTGGTGCGAACATCATACCTAGATGGTATAGCCTACTACACACCTGGGCTCTATGGTACTAATCTGTGGGACCACTGTCTTATACGCAGTCTCTTTGACTGAAATGTCATTGTGCAGTGTGTAACTGTAATAGCAAATCTGTCAACATTTAACAATTTTAGGGAGGATTTTTTTAAAAAATTCTGCATGAATAGCTGTTAGAATGGATAAACTGTATTAACATTTTAAAGCTAATATTTTTTATTAATACCTATGAGGTTTTTTCTAAGAATTTATTCATAATCAAAATATTTATTTATTAGTGCTGAGTGTTATATAATAGATTCTTTAATAGGTATTTGTGGTGTATATGCAATTGATCTCTCTTATGAAATTTTTTTTGTGTACTAGTTTGTATACTTCTCATCTATTACTCTAACAAACTTTATTAGATTTTTAAAAGGCTGGGTCATGATGTGTTAACCTTTTATAATTATTCCATCTTTTGAGAAACATAAACAATTTATACCATTTCAGTAATTTGTATTAAAAATAATTTTTTTACTCTTAAAGAAATTATAATATTGAGTATGCTTTTTGAAGCCACACATATCTCCACCTTCCATACGATTCAGATCTGAGTGGACTTGCAATCACAGTTGAATATGTATATAATTGAAACATATATTAGCTTGTTAAGGGTATATTTTTAAGTTTATAGGGAAAAAAAAGCTCCTCTATATGTCTTTTAGTATTACTGATAGCCAGTATATTAGGTTTTAGTGGACTAATTATAATCTTTTTTATTCCTAGTATGATAGATTCCTGGAATTGCCAGATTTAACATTGTCTTTCCCTTGATTCACAAATAACCCTGCAGTTCCATCCACTAATAATGTACAGTTTTGCTGAGACATGAATTTGAATCTCATATGCAGCAACTGGATTGAGATTTTTGGTTTTGGAAGTATGTGGAACCTGGTCACTTAGCCACCCAGTCAGCCTAGCAGCCTCATCTCAGTGTGGCTTTGCTTTTGCTACTTGACTTTGTGTATGTGATAACTCGCATGGTGTTAAACATTACTTCACTTTCTGAGCAGCAGTATGTATTACAACTGAACTGTGAATTTTAGGATTTTCAGGGACATAGGATGTATCCACCATTTAATGTCAAAGATCTGTCTTATCACACACATTACTTAAATACTCTATTCCATTGAAAAATGCTTCCTAAAAATGATATTATCTGACCGTCCTGGTATTATTTTATGTTAAGTTAGTATTTTGAATTTTTTGCTGATGTCCACATCAGTAAAATTAATTACTTCTAATAGCGGTTGTGATATTTATTTATTAAATTTGATATGTTAGGAGTTAATGTTATTATCTAATCCTAAATTTTTTAAAAATGAAAAAAAAGTTTTAGCTAGTAAGTGAATGGGCTTTGACGTCTCTGTGAAGAGAATAGGCAGTGTAGTTTGGTGGAAAGAGGAAAGACTGAAGTTCTTGGGTTCTGTGTCTATTCTGCCACTAGTGGAGTGACTTCAAGTAAATGATTCAGCCTATCTAAGCATCCATTGTCCTATATGGAAAATGGGGATTATAGTAGCTACTTTTTGAGGCTGTGAGATTAAATAAAATGATGTTTTTTAAAGCCTGTAATATGAGTTGGTAAGCCAAGTCCTCAGTAAGTGGTAGTTGCTGTTATGTTGGAGGTGAGGAAAGAAGAGAATTACTTAATGATAGTTGTCTTTAAAACTTCTTAACTTTAATTTTTGGGAAGTGTAGCATTATATTTCAAAAGAAACCAAGTGTAAATATATATTTTTTAAACTTTAGTAACAGGATGATTATTCTAGCAACATGTTAGTTGATCTGAAGATACCAAGATAAAAGAATAAATTGCAAATATAATAATACAAACAAATGTAAATTTTGAAATTGAATATATATATACACCAAATTGTTAATCTTAGATTTAGTCCTTATGTTGCTTAGCTTATCTTTCTTATATACTTGTAAAATAGTATAGATTTTATAATATGGTAAAATGTAGAGTGTATGCCATGAAATTAACCTGAACTAGAAAATTTTTCCATGCATAAGGAGTCTGCAAAGAGCATATTAACTTTACATTCCTAATCTTTGAAGTAAACATAGTGTTTGAATTCTGGCTATCCAGATGAAAGAACTTAATATTTCAATGACAGTAAAAAAAATATAAGAACTCCAATCATTCCTTTTACTTATTGTGGTCTTCCCCTTCTCTGATTCCCCTTAAGAAGTAGACCTCCTTCATTATTCTCTATCAGTCTTCATTTAGTCCTGCCCAACTTACTCTCAGTAGATGACCTGCTCATTGTGAAAATTGAGGTCACCAATTGTAAAATCTCTTACCTTCTTCCGTCCCTATACCAACATCCATCCATATCACTTATCTTCTCAGAACATTTGTAATCCTCTTTGCCTGTGGTCATGGTTCCACTCTCTGGATGGCACTTCTCATCCCTTCATGCAAATGTCTACTTATCCTTTAAGAGTCAGCTCAGACATCACTTGTCTATGAAATTTTCTATAATAATCTGGTATGAGTTGGGATTCTATTCTTAACCAGCAGAAAACCAATTCTTATCACATTGGCTTAAATTTAAATTTTTTTCTTGGTTTTGAACTTATTCAAATAATGTTGAACTAGATACTCTGCTGTGGGAATATTCCTAAAGGATTCTTCTTTAGAATACTTTTTGAGATGTGCTTTTTCAAAATGATCCCCCTTCCCATTTTTAACCTCAAACCAACTAGAAAACTTGGTCTTATTTAGATAATAAATGGCTAATTTAGCTTTTTAATTTGAAAATTACAAGTACTTTTTCTTTTTTTAATTAGTAATTTAAATTCATTGCAACCAATTCTTTAACATTGGATTTTATAGCAAGCATATTTGCTCTCTTTTCTAGGCAAACCTAAAATTAATGCAGTTTGAAATAGTTTAAAATTTTGCATGCCAGTTACACATACACATAGCTATCTTTGAAAATTTTGAACTTAATCTGTTCCAGGAAACTGTGGCCCAAAATAAAATAATATACTCCTAATTTCAATATGTAGACAAATTGACATGCTACAGTACAAATTGCAGTAATATAATTTTACAGCTAGGAGGCAGTCTGGTCAAAGAGTAAAATTATTCTTACAGTTCTCATATGAAAACAAGATAATAAGCAGAATCTGGCAGGAACACGTAATTTAAGTCATGGCATTTCCTGTGACACTTAAGGCATTCTTCATCATCTTCTGTTCGTAGTTATTTAAAGCTATGATTAGTTTCTTGACAAGGAAATGTAGGTTATTATAAAGTGAGCCCTAGTTGTCTGCTTGATCTGTACATTGATAAATTTTCAAATCATATCCATTACTGAAGGAGGTCGTTCTTCACACAAAATCTCTTTGTTGATAGAGCATTAGAATCATGGTGTTGAACCAAACAATAATAGGTGTTTATGTGGACCAGTGACTATGTTAGAAATTGGGGGAAATAGTATATTTTACTTTATGAGTATTCAGAGAAGAATGAAACATAGTTATTCCTTATTTATTTAGATCTAGATTATTTTTGCTAAAAATGACTTAAGTCGATTTACAAAAAGGCGTTACAAGTTAACAGGATAAAATAAATATTAGTAATAAGAACAAGGCAAAGAGGAAATGTAAAAGAAAGCAAGATGGAGTTGGTAAGATTAATACACAAAGCATCTGTCTTGATGTCCTACGCATGCTGGTATAGGGGCTACATCTAGTAAGATGAAGTCAGTGGTGAGATTAGTACAAATATTTGTGCTATCATGTCCTATGCACTTGATGTAGGTGGGCCATTAATTTGACTCCAAACTTGCATGAAGAAGGGAAAAATTGTTTATAAAATTCAGTACTTGTAAAGTCAAAACAAACAAGAAAAACAACTGTTTCTGAGACCGGGGACAAAATTCTCTCCTAGGTATTCCTTCATAGGACAGTGGATAATACGAGAATGTATAAGCAACAACATCCTCGCATTGAAGGCAGTGATAAGTTTATGTTTCATAGGAGTAGCATTTAGGTCCCTTGCAGAGGCCAGAGGTATTGAGGTAAAGCAGAATTCAGTAAGAGCAATTTTGTGCCAGATCAACTAGAAAATGAAAAGACTTTTTAGGTTTTATTTCTATTAGTATATGCTTTCATATAGTTATAAAATATGTATCAGTGATACCAGTGACAGACCTATCTAAATATTGGTTCCTTCTCCTTTTAGATTCTGAAAAAGAGTTCCACATCCTCCCTCACCGAGTTTTTGTCCCCATTCCGGGATCCACTGTAATGTTATGTGATTACAAATTTGGTGATGAGTCAGCTGAAGAAATCAGAGACCATTTTATAGAGATGTTAGATCATATGATTCAAATAGAAGATTTGGAAATTGCAGAGGAAATAAACACAGGTAATTATATGATGTTATTTAAGAACCTGATTAGACTACTGCTAAGATTACCTATGAGACGTCTAGTTTAAATATCATGTTTTTAGATTTCCTTAAAGCCAGTTCTGTTTGACACTTCAAGGCATTTAAAAATGTGTCTTTTTGATTTCTAAATCTATAAACATGCAGTCAGTATTTTCCTGGAAAATTGTACCAAAATTTAAGATACTTTAGGTTTTTCCAAACCTCACAAGTAGATCTTAAAACAAGTTCAGCCTTAAGTAGGTGAAAATATATAGCTTTAAGATATTTCTTTTATTATAAGGAAAGTTTTCTTAAAACTCATTATCTTAATTACTTATTTGGTTAAGCATCATGTCACAAAGTTTTTTAAACACTTTATTAAACGTCTTCTCCATACTATTTACCTTTATTTTCCTCTCCCCTTCATATTATTGTGATATTAAGCTGAAATGGGCAATTCCAAAAATTAGGTCAAAATTATTTTTCTAGAGCATCGATTTGCCATACTATCTAACTGTGTAATGTATTTTTCTCCTAGCCATCACTTTCACATTTGACCTTACATTTTGGAAGGCTGGTTTTTTGTTTTGTTTTTTGCTTTGCTTTGCTTTGTTTTTGTTTTTGTTTCTAATAAGAGCAGGATATAAAAACATGTCTATATTAAACGTGTAAGTGTATGATGGTCTTCCTGAAACATTTAAAAACACAAGATAAATGTAATTATTTGCAAATATCAATAAATATTGAGTACATAGCTATTTATTAATCTTGAAATTTCTGATATAGTAGAAAGTCTTTAGATTACTTTTGAATATGGATGTTTATGAAATTTGAATATGGCAATTTTTAAGTCCTTTTTCTGATTCTAATTTCTTAGTTATCCCTCTGTTGCTTAACTAATTCCTACCCCTCACAAGAGTATTTGATTCAGAGTGCCCGTTACTATGGTGAGTCAAATAAGTATTTGGTTGGTGAATTTCAAATCTGTCAGTGAAGCCTCACGTCAGGTGGGGACCACCAGGTGTGTTTTTTCAACAATTCCAAGTTAGTATTAATCATGAGGTGGAACAGGAAGTTTGTTTTAAAGGAAAAAAAAAACACTCTAATTTGCTCAGTACCGGATGTTAAAGCAGCAGCTGTGTTTCAGTCCTTTGAAAACTAATATTTTAAACGGTAGAGCTGTAGCATATTCCCTAACTGGTAGAGATTTTGAAAGTAGACTGGTAAAAGTGTTTGCTACTTTCTGAAATGTGTTTTCCCAGGTTAGTGGCTACACTATCTTTGCAAACCAAACTTAGAATCTGAGGGCAGGAATTTTTGTTTGTTTTGTTCGCTTCTGTCACAAGTGCCTAACAATAGTTTTTGACCCATTCTGTTGTTGATAACCTGAATGAATTTTATGTGTGGTCAAGTTGACCTAGTTAATCCTTTTTCTTATAATACTGAAATCTATATCCTTAGCCGATTGATATTCAGACTCTGTTCTTCCTTGTTATGAATACCAGTCTGCCTTCCTGTAACCTATACTTTGTTCAGTAATATGGAGCAATAAAACATGAATACTGCTTCTTTCTTGAGGCCATGCCTTATGTTTGAGTGCAACTGTCGTGTTCTGAATATTTCAAAGCCAAATATTCCCACACACCTTTAACTGTTCTCTTTATTATAGTTTCCAGATCTCATTTTAAAACGATATAATAGTCATAGCTCTATGAATCAATAGTTCAGAACATTTTAAGGAGTATAGAACATTTAAAATATATGACAATATGTAGCACTAATTGTTGCGCCAGAAATATTAATTCTAGTTTACAGCATTTAGTATTTCTGTTTATCAAATATTTATTAAGCGATTGCTCTGTTTAAGGCAATGTGATAGATACAAATCAATGACCAGATTCCTTTCCTCAAGAAGCCTATAATGTGATTTGAAAGATAGAATGTGTATGCGTTATTAATTACATAGAGCATGTAGTAAGATCCTAAGAGTAACCGAGAACTTCATCAAGATTAATGATTAGAATTTTAGGGCCTCCAGTGATTTGGTTAATAATTCAATTAGAAGAAGATTTTTTGACCGTGAGTTAGCAATAACTTATAATCTACAGTAACAAAATTTTGGAATGAGTATTTTCAAATTTTAGTAAATTCTAAATTCATTTTTTCATTCTTCATTATTAGTACTTTTATGTTTCACTTTAAGTGAAAGCACACACTTGTGTAAGTTGATGCTCTATAATATACAACGGATAATCCCAAATATGTTAAAAGACCCGTAGTTTTGAAGGATTCTTTGAATTCTTTGAAATATTTTTGAAAATAATTAAAAGACTTATTTTTAGCCTCAAGATAATATATTTCTTATCTGCTATTATCAGATTTAAATGCTATTCCCTAATGAGTGGTTTTATCATTTATATGTGTAGTAAATATAGTGTAATCCTGTTTCTTAGCTTTCCTTCAGTAAGCTTTATCTTTAGCATTGTACCATGTTAAATATTAGCATGAACTAGTAACTATGAAGTATTTTAAAATAATTTTTTAATCTTAGATGATACATAAATATTAATGCATTTGTCTTTTTTCTGAGTTTCAATTTTCATAAGTTTTTAATATTGGTACTTAGTTATATGTTTTGCACTGTATTTTAAAATTATTTTCTATCTATATTTCTTTTTTTTATGCTGACAGTCTAGTATAGAGAGCATTAACTGAGTAGGAAGAGTTTAATATTACAAGAAGAAAGGAAACAAAGCAGCAATTTTGAAAGTTTAGGTGTGTATAGTTAGATGTATGCTGTGTCAAACTCATGGTTTCTAGATAGTATTATATATTTTTCTAATATTATGTAATGTACTGAAGATACTAATTCAGTATGGTAGGTATGAGTCTTTTAAGACTCTGCCCTGTTTTTGAAACTTACGTAAATCTCAACTGCGTGATCAACTATTTGTTGATTGCCTGTTATGTATTAGGCATTAGGGTTCTAGAGATGAGATATGTAAGCCCTGACTCTCAGTATGGTGGGAAATACAGAGAAATGGTTTATTCCAAAATAGAGTGATTAGTTCTATAATAGAGGAATGAGCAGAGAATTATCAGAACATTTAGCACAGGCAATATGCTTGTAAGGGATTCAGAGAAAGCTTCTCAGAGCAGGTGACATTTGAGTTCATTTTGAAAGATGAATACAGTAAAAGTAACCCTAGGCTTTTTAGGAATTGAACACTGGCATCATATGTATCGTGGCCAAGAATATGACTTGTCTAGAATTATATTAGCTTTGCTTCATCAAGTAGTTGTTGAATTACAAGGAATGATTTAGTAATTAGTGTATTTTTAATTGTGAAATAACACATTCCCAAATTATGGGATAGAGTAAAAACAAACATTTTAGTATAAAAATTAAGTGCTTTTACATAAACATCCTATTGGTTTAGAATTATATTCGCTTACTCATTCACTCATTTACTCATTCATTTATTAATTTACTTAAAAATATTAGATACATAATTTTACCAAGATAGTATTTTAGCTGAGTCCAGGTTACAGCTGTATAACCTTAAACAGATCTACTCTGAACCCTAGATTCTCTTGGGGTTGGTTTGAGAATTTAGTACAAATGTTAGGGAAAATACTTTCTAAACAGAAAGAGGTATGTAAATGTAGGGTGATATTAACTAGCATTATTATAAGACTTTTAAATAATGAACCTTCTGAATTATAATGGCAAACATTGATATTAAAGTACAGAAAGAATGTTTTATAGTGTGCATAGATTTTCCTAAGTATTTGAAGTTAGGGTTTCCTTATAAAATAAACCATAGAAACTAGAGTTCAAATATTCAAATTCAAAAATTGAAATCAATTACTATACATTTAGGAATGTTAAACTTGTTATAAGCTTTATTTTCTAAGTATTTGGTGTTATTATTTGTTTGATTATTATTTAATTATTTCTGTTCTATAATATAGTTGCCAAGTAGTTGCTATGTTTAAAATGCATACTTTGCCAAGTATCTTAAAATAACATACTTTTAAATGACTTAAAGGATGAAGAACAATTTGTTTGTCAAAATGACTCACTTAAGGTGAGGGATAACTATGGCTTTAAAATTTCTTAGATGCATTAGTCATCTCCTAGTAGATATTGACTTAATAATTCAGGTGTACTTTATCCACAGTATCAGCTAAAAATTTGGAGACACACCTTTAAAGTCTGGTGAAGCTAATCTTTGCCAATTCTGTCTTGATATCAGAGCTGATATTAATTTTTCTTGTTTGGTTAAACAGTGATAATTTAATTATAAAGGGTAAAGAAGTAATACTGATGTATTTTTATGGGTAAGTCACTGACTGTCATGAAACCTCATTACTTTAGGATTCAGGGATGGGGAAGAAGACAACTAAGGAGTTCAAGTCCTAACATTTCATTGTAAGCTTCTAAATAGTCCTGCCTAACTATCAGCAGCTTAAAATGAAATCTGAACACATCTACAACTTAGTATGCATTTATCATGGCTCTTGTTTTCTCTTTTGTGGACAGTTGCTCAAGAAGGTTGCTTTCCTGGGGCCGGCCCGGTGGTGTAGCGGTTAAGTTCACGTGCTCTGCTTCAGCAGCCTGGGTTCGCAGGTTCGGATCCTGGGCGCAGACCTACGCACCGCTCATCACGCCATGCTGTGACGGCATTCCATATAAAAACGTAGAGGAAGATGGACACAGTTGTTAGCCCAGGGCCCATCTTCCTCAGCAAAAAGAGGAAGATTGGCAACAGATGTTAGCTGAGGGCTAATCTTCCTTACACACACACAAAAAAGAAGAAAGTTGCTTTCTTACATGATTAATTTGGGATTTTTCTAAAGTTAAAATTACCTGGTTTTAAGAAATGGTTAAGATCTAATTTCCTATTGACTCACATGTTATTTGCATTTAAATTTCAGGTAACATTTAATTTTCAGTATTGGTGAAATGACATAGTAAGTAAGATTTGAATTAAAATTCTACAGGCTCCCACCAAAAACAAACACAAATAAATTGTTATGACAAGGCCTTATTCATCCTTAAAAAATGCTCTACGTCAGTAAAATTATCTCAAATTTGTATCAAATCAACATAATTTTGTATGACATTTAAAAATGGAAGTAGAGCAATGAAATGACTTTGTTTATGGAAGTAAGTTATTTGTGCAGAGGACGTACTAGAGCCTGATCTTCACATATAACAATTCAATATTAAATATATAAGTAACATATCATGACAAATAAAACCATTTTTGTGCTCTTTATATACCCAAGTGAAAAAAAACTCCTGTACCAAATAGATATAATTCATCCATTATTTTTGTTTATTTGTTATCTAATGTAAGGATTTTAGTGGCCCAAAGCAAAAGCTTTTTAGCAGTGATATTTACTAATAGAAAAGCCAAAATGTGTGTGTGTGTGTTTGTGAGGAAGATCAGCCCTGAGCTAACGTCCATGCCAATCCTCCTCTTTTTGCTGAGGAAGACTGGCTCTGAGCTAACATCTATTGCCATTCCTCCTCCTTTTTTTCCCCAAAGCCCCAGTAGATAGTTGTATGTCATAGTTGCACATCCCTCCAGTTGCTGCATGTGGGACGCGGCCTCAGCATGGCCAGAGAAGCGGTGCGTCGGTGCGCGCCCGGGATCCGAACCCGGGCCGCCAGTAGTGGAGCGCGTGCGCTTAACCGCTAAGCCACAGGGCCGGCCCTGTGTGTGTGTGTTTTAACATGAATAAAATTGTACTCTCTATTCAACTTTTAGACCTATAGATGAAGTTAGGGGAAATTTGAAGCTGCTGGGCTAATGTAGTCTAGAATTAAAGTATTATAATAAGAATTTGTTGGTCTTTGTGACTTATTTGATATGGGAGTAGAAAAAAAGAGAAGAAGGTTTATGGGGTTTTTTTGTGTGTGTGAGGAAGATTGGCCCTGGGCTAATATCTGTTGCCAATCTTCCTCTTTTCGCTTGAGAAGGGTGGTCCCTGAGCTAACATCTGTGCCCATCTTCCTCTGCTTTGTATATGGGACGCTGCCACAGCCTGGCTTGATGAGTGGTGTGTAGGTCCTCGCCCAGGATCCAAACCCGCAAACCCCAGGCTGCCGAAGCGGAGCACAAGAACTTAACCTATATGCCACTGGGCCGGGTCCTGTTTGTTTTTAAAGTACTTGAGTCATATGCTCGAAGAGGAAAAAAAAAGAATGATGGTACCCTTGATTCTAATAAGTTTGTTACTAAGGATTATTTCTGAAAATGACAGTAAACTTTTTTTCATGGGAAGCTGAGAAGTAGGCCATTTTTTTCTTTTTCTTTCATTCATTTTGGTATCACAGATATGTATTTCAATAAGTTGATGTGTCATCCTTATGAGCCTGTGCTAGTATGTTGGGATACAAAGATGTCTGTAAGGACCTTTTAAATCCAAACAATAGGTTATTTTACTTTGAATTTAAACAGTAGTATTTACTGTCTCTCACTCTGTGGTTCTCTTCTCTTCTTTGTAAATAAAGGGATCAACATGAAGTAGTTGCTTTCAAGCATAGTTCCCTGGAGTTCTAGAGAACAGCACTCCACTAGTGCTTTCTCCCACCTCTGAGGGGAAGAAGGGAGTTTGGCTTGAGGAGCCCTCCATCCTTGCTTCAACCTGAGTTAATTCTACTTTCATCTATTTTACATACTGGGATTTTCTGTCAGATTCTTTAGCGCTAGGGAAAAAAAAGAAAGCCACTGGTCTGTGTGATCTCTAAAGATGTTTTCAGTTCAAATACTTTTAATCAGTGTTGTATAAATTCAACTAGGCTAACCTATGTAAATGTTTGCCAGCATAGTGAAGTAGAAAGAGAACTTGTGTTTGAATCCTCAGTCTGCTGCCCATGACCCTCAAATATCCACTTAATTTCCCAGATCTTATTTTTCATTTGTAAAATGAGGTAATATACTTGCCTTGCTTAACAGTGAGTTGTTTTAAGGTCAAATTTATGATTTTATTTTGCTTATATATTTCAAATTTCAAGTTAGATCAAGAGTCAGCAAACTTTTTCTGTATAGGGCTAAATAGTAAATATTTTAGGCTTTGTGGAGCACATAAGTTCTGGCCCATGGGCTGTGGTTTGCTGATCCCTGCTTTTATTATTAATATCTAATTATTTGAAATTACTAATTTTCAAAACCACCAATAAGAATGATGTAAAATTAATGCAGATTGAGTGAAGGTTACCATGCTCCTATCTGGTTTGATTTTTGGTGTCAGTTTATCTCTACTACCATATAGTAAACAAATTATAGTTTGTGGGATTCATTCAGAACTGGCCGTGTGGCTCTCTGGTTTTGGTCAGTTATAAAACTACATAAAGTATTTTTTAAATTATGTCAGTTTGACATATGTTCCACCAAATTTAATTTGCCTACATTTGATAATGAGCAAATTCATTATGTTATAAAAAAGTCAAGTTGAAGGAAAATGGAGCTCATTGTATATATTCTTTATAATGTTCTTCGTTAAAACTCATTTTAAAATGGTAATTATTCTCATTTTATTTAGGATTTATTATCATTATCCTTTTGCAGCTTGTTTGAGTTCATCTATGAATACTGAAGCTTCATTGGACAGCACAGATGATGAACAACCAAAACAACCAATTAAAACTACAGTGTTATTGAAAATTCAGCACAACATAGGTATCTTATTTTTTTTATAACATTGAAAAGGTGGTATTTTAGATTTGAGTTTTCTTGTTACTTTAAAATTATTTTCATTGCATTTTGCTTTCTGAAAGTGCTAAATTAAGCCAATATTTATTGAGTATTATGGAAAGTGCTAGGCCCTAGAGACAGAAAGATTTATAAATAATTTTCCCAAGTGCACTCAAAGGTGACACTACCTATTAATTTTTTTTGGTGTTTTTAGAAGAAAAACACGTTGAGTTCCGGGAATCAATTAGTATAGTAGGGCCAGTGTTTTCCAAACTGGTGTTCCCAGGACTGATATTGCAGAAGATTTTGAAATGTGTTTTGTGGAAAAAGTCAAATTCAAATCTGGAAATTTATAATTCACTTTAGTATTTTAAAGGCTCCAAGAGCTGTGGCAGTTACTTGAACGTTTTTCAGACATATTGATCAAAGAACATGTAGACTTCTTGTTTAGTGGAATGCCAATTTGAGAAATGCTTTATAAGCATTAAACTTTTGACTGAGAGTTAGTAGCCAGAAGCGTTAGTTATTTTTCTTGTCACTTACTCATTAGATAAACTTAAGTTAATTACCTAAATTCTTTTACCTAAGCGTGTGTGTTATGTGTGTGCGCGCGTCTGGACTACTCTGGTCTGTTTTGTTTTGTTTTGTTTCGTTTTAACTTATAATAATCAGGAAAAAATAAATAAAAATAAAAGTTACCAACCTAGGCTTACTAATTCTTAGATTTTATAATGATAGAATCTGACTTTCTGTAGTTTTCAATAGCTGTGCAAAGGACTTCTTATTGTAATTGACTGAAAACCACTGCCCGTTGGAGCTGTCTTTTTGGTTTAAGCTAAGTGGCATGAGACAGCTGGAATGTCACTATAAATATTTATAGAAGCCTTTTAAAGTGTGTGTTAGTTTTTCTCTTAGATGTGTGTGAGTGCACACGTGTGTAAGAGAGACACTTTTTTTTCGGGTTTTGCTAAGGTGATGAAGTACATGCTTACCAGTCCAGCCTTTACAATCTACTTTTCAACCTTTTGCTCTATTTTCCTCTAAGACCGTGCTGGCTTCTAGTACATATATGTGTGTGTAGGTATATGTGTTCGTGTGTGTGTGTTTGTTGTTTAGGTCATCAGTTACCTACATTTCGCAGCGTAGGATCAGTGAGGCCTTTCTTTTGCTCATTCCATTTCCATTTGTTTTGTGTTTGTTTCACTTGTAGGTGTGGTTGCAGCATTTGCAGTGGCAGTCCTTGCTGCGGGTGTCTCCTTTCATTACTTCAGTGATTAGGGTGAGACACAGAGAGCTTCCTGTCATCCAGAGAGCACTGACCAACAATTATAAATAATAAAGATGAAACAATCCATCTGCATTTAAGGCAATAGCAGCCAGATTTGCTTCCATAATGCCTATTAGGTGTGTTTCTGACTAAAATGAAATCACCAACTGCCTTGTGCTTATATTATAGATGGCTCAGGCTTCCAAAAATAAAGTTATGCATCTAGATGGAAGTTGCATTAACAAATCATTATTATCTATTTTTTAAAATGTTCAAAATGATGGTTTATTTTCATAGATTTTAGTCCTTTTGATCTGGATCACATATTGATCAGGACATTCAAAATTTGAATAGTCAGGGTTGACTGAATATCTTAGTAATAGAACAACAGGAGAAATTTCTACAAAGTGGGGCAACAACCTGTTGGGTAAGTTCATACTCTAGGACCTTTATAATGTATGCTCAGTTCCAAAATACTGATCGAGTTCCGATTGAGGGGTAACAAATCTTTCCACAGAGGTTTAAATCAGTAAGAATTGCCATAAATCATGTGCTTTCTCAAGTTAGTATAACTGTTTTAGTATATTTTTTTTTTTTTTTTAAAGATTTTTTTTATTTTATTTTTTCCCCCCAAAGCCCCAGTGGATAGTTGTATGTCGTAGCTGCACATCCTTCTAGTTGCTGTATGTGGGTCTCGGCCTCAGGATGAACGGAGAAGTGGTGCCTCGATGCGCACCCGGGATCCGAACCCGGGCCACCAGCATCGCAGCGCGCGCACTTAACCACCAAGCCACAGGGCCGGCCCTGTTTTAGTATATTAAATATGACTTGCTTCCAACATTATGTTAGACTAGGTACTGGAAAACAAGTAGATCCTGAATAAAATCTACTTTTGAATGCATTAATAGGCTCAAAGAAAGTAGAGGAAATCTCCAAGAACTTCTATTTTTTCCTCTCCCACAAAAATGAATACATTTTGAGTTGGGAATTGGAAATACTGTATTAAGCTTATAGGTGGACAGTGGGTGCCTGAATGGCCAATACTATTGTAGTGCTGCCAAATGTAATTTGCTGTGGATCAGGAATGAGATAAATCTGAATCTGAGATGCTACCCTAGCCAGGACAGTTCAGGTGGCCCTCAGTTTTAGTTCCCTATAGCTCCTGGAAGATGCAAGATATAGTCCCAAGATTCCTGTAGGTTAAGATAAAGCAATATTATTTCATGACTAGAGATCACCAGGAGCAAGTTGAAACTAGCTAGCATGAAAAAGAACCTATAGAAATACAAATTTTGGATTCAGTTCTCTAAGGTCTCATTACCAACATACATGAAGGATGGAACCAGAGGCAGATCTGAAAAATAAATAAACAGAACTGCTAGAAATAAGAAATAAGTTACTTGAAATGAAAAAAAAAAAAAAAACCTCACATGCGAGTATCATATGAGACTCAGCTGAAGAGAATAAATAAACTGGAAGCTAGATCTAAAGAAATTACCCAGTGTGCAGCAAGGAGAAATGAAGAGTTAGAAAATATAAATATTAAAAGAGCAGTTAGGAGATATGGAGGGAAGAATTGTAAAGACTAGAAGTACTAGGAGGAGAGAATAGAGAGGATGGAGGAGTGGCAATATTTGAAGAGATAACAGAATTTTCCACATTTGTTGGAAAAACATGAATTGATAAATTCAGGAAGTGCGATATATCCCAAGCATATACAGATAAAATCCATGCTTAAACTCAATATAGTGTAACTGTAAGATACCAAGCACAAGATTTTAAAAACAAAAGGAGAAAAAGATCATCAATGAAGGCAAGACAATCAAATACTTAGTAGGCTTATCAAAAGAAACAACGTACTCAAAAGATGGTGGAATAATGCCTCCAAAATTGTGAGAAGAACTAATTATCAACTTAGAGTTTGTACCAAGCAAAACTGAAATAAAGGCATGTTCAGATGAAAAACAGATTTTACTGTCAACAGACCTTCATTAAAGAAACTGCAAAAGGATGGTCTTCAAGAAGGAAAATGCTTCCAAAAGGATGATCTGAAATCAAAGAACTAGTGAGCAAATAAAAGGATAAACATATGTAAATCAGAAGTGTTATTTATATAAAACAGTCATAATGAAAGAAGTGTTTATAAGAAATAAAATTGTAAACAACTGTAAAACAATAAACATTTTATGTAACATTAATGTGGACTTTTAAAATAAGATGTAATTGAAAAACTGGACAGTAGCTTATACGATGGGAAGACGGTGATTAGAATTAAAGTGTTCTGTGGTGCTTTTATTCAGAAAATGGGTTAAGATACTGTTTAACTTTTAAATTATGTTAAATATGTATAGTAAAATTTCAAGTATGACTGCAAAAATAATCGATTTGGGATGAATCATTCCAAGGGAAAAGAAGTTTAAAATATGGAATAGGAAGACAATAACTCAATACAGAAAAGGGGAGAAATTGTGGGATGGGGGTTGGGGAGCGACAGAATTAGTAAGATAATAGTAATAAGTCAAATGATAATTAAAACAAATATGAATAGACTAAACCCAGTTAAACAACAGATTGATTAGATTTTTTAAAATCCAGTTATAGGCTGGATTTTTTAAAAGATGAAAAAAAAACCCATTAGGCAAACAGCAAAAGACAGCCTGTATAGCTTTAGTGATATTAAATCAAAATTAGACTTTATGATAGTATTATGAAAGATGGAGAAGGCCACTAAATAATGGTAAAAGGATCAATTCACTAGGAGTATATAACAATTTTAAATTTGCATGTACTTTATAAAATGGCTTCAAAATATATAAACTATAAGATTAAACCAACAAATTGAACACAGTGGAAGATTTCAGTAGCACTCAATTATTGATAAAGAGGCCAAAGAATGAGGGAAAACACAGCTTTGAATAATGCAATTAACAATATTGATTCAATGGACATATTTAGAATAATCAACAATTAGAGAATATTCTTCTTAAGCATTGTATATTAGCAAAAATTGACCATGTAACTCACAATAAATTTTAAAAAATTAGTATTAGATAATCATAAATAAGTCAGTAATAAAGGTTGAGTTTTTTAAAATCATATATTTACAAGTTCAAAAAACCTTCATAGATGAAAGAAGAAAATATAAATACTTAGAATCTAGTTAGAAGTACTACATTTGGAAAAATTGGGTGATGCAGCAGAAGCAGCACTTTGAAGGAAATGGCTTTAAATACTTAAGGAAAAAGGCTAAGTGTGTAACTTACATTAGGTGACAACAGAATAAGCACAATGTAGAAGCAAAAAGAAATCAATGAATTAGGAAAAGATACAGAATTACAATGTCTTGTAAGTTGCTTTCATGACAAAACAATATAATTGGCATAATTGAACAGGAAGAAAACAGCACAAGTAAACAACATAAAGATTGAAAAGGGGGTCCTAACCCATAGATAGAGCAGAGATGAAAATGATAAGAGACTACCAGGAGCATCTTAATATATTTGAGAACTTAGGCAAAACAGATAAAAGTCTGGGAAAATGCAATTTCCTTAAACTGGCTCCAGAAGAAATAAAAAGCTAGACTTATTCAATAGTATTGCAGAGTATGACTTAAAATTCTTTGACAAAAAGAACATCTAGCCCACATTTACAGATGTTTTATCCCTCTTTCAAGGACCATACTATTTCAACATTTTATACAAACTCTTCCAAACAATAGACTCTCCAGCTCATTTTATGAGGGCAGTGTAACTTTTATTAGTACTAGAATCAGACACATTCAGTAGGAGAAAAGAAAATTGCAGACTAATAGCATTTATTAACACAAATGTGAAAGTCAAAAGCACTATTAATAAACTGGACTCAACATTATATAAAAAAGGATAATGTATTATGACTAAGTTGAATACATTAAAAATCAGGAACACAACAAGAATGCCTATTATCACCACTTCTATTTATCATTGTCCTGTAGAAAAATGAGCAAAAGACAGAAACCAGGTATTTTAAGAGGATGTGACTGAACGCTTGAAAAGATGTTTAATCTCATAAAGGATCAACTAATTAAGACCACAATGAATACCATTTTACATCCAAAAGATTGAAAAATTAAGAAATATGACCATACCAACGAAGAAGATATGCGTCAAGACGACATCTACAGGTGGGGTTGTAAACTGATACACTGGAAAGCAATTTGGCATTATCTTGTCAAGTTAATCATTCACATACTCTGATACCTAGCCATTTCTACTTCTACATATATACCTTAGAGAAATTCTTGCATTTATGCACAAGAGTACACGTGTGAGAATGTTGAAGGCAACCTGTTTGTAACCACCCAAATGTCCATTGACAAGATAATAAAAAATAAATTCTGGGTTTTGTAATTTTATTTCGCAGGGGAGTGACCTGTGAAAGTGATAATTAAATAAAGCAAGTCTCAGAGGCCTACATGCAGTATGATACAGTTTTTATGAAGCTTAAAAACAAGCAAATCTCAACTATATTATATAGGAGTACATATGTTTGTGATAAAACTTTTTTTTAATGTGAAGGAGTGATATAGCAAAAATTCAGGATTGTGGTTACCATTTCAGAGTGGGAGTGATGGCAGGACAGGAAGAGAAGGAACAAATGAATAGATGAAACAATATTGATATTTTAGTTCTTGAGTTGAAATGAGTTTCTTGGTTTTGTTTTTGTTTTTGCTTTTTTGTGAGGAAGATTATCCCTGAGCTAACATCCGATGACAATCCTCTTTGCTGAGGAAGATTGGCGCTGGGCTAACATCCGTGCCCATCTTCCTTTACTTTATACAGGCCGCCGCCACAGCATGGCTTGACAAGCAGTGCGTCCGTCCGCGCCTGGGCTCTGAACCTGCAAACCCTGGGCCGCTGAAGCAGAGCGTGGGAACTTGACTGCTACGCCACTGGGCTGGCCCCCAAAATGGGTTTTTTGATGTTCATTTTGCTTACTTAATGGCATTAACATAATAATTATTTTGGTTATCTATTACCAAAAAAACACCCCCAAACTTAATTGGCTTGAAAAAAACAACCATTTGATTTTCCCCACAATTCTGAGTTGTCAAGGGCAGTTGGATGGTTCTGCTCCATGTGATGTTGGCTGGAGCTACAATGTTCTAAGAGCTTGATTGGGCTTGAAACATCCAAGATAACTCATTCACATGGTTGGTAGTTGATGCTGGCTGTCAGCTGGGAACTCAGCTAT